CCTATGTGCTCACCAGGCTCCCAAGCCCGACTCACTCAGTTTTTTTTTATATTACAGGTAATGGCACAAGAGCACGGGTGTGATGATATGATGAAAGATTCATGGATGCCTATAGGCCAGTAGTTTAGACTAAGGGGTTGTTTGATAGTTGTTGACTGGGTAAGATCTGACTGAGTCAGAGCCTGATTGGGTCAGAAGCTCTGACTGTAGATGCTTCTGACTGAAATCATACTGTTTGATCATGCATCTGACTGAATGTGTTGAATGCTGAAAATGACCATTTTACCCTTCTATTTTGTTTTGTTTTGTGCTAAATAAATTTTCTCAATTTGATCTAAAAAAATCGAACAAATAATGTAAATTTATAAAGAATTGAAGAAAAAAGTTATCAACTATCTCATTACCAAAACCTTTAAAAAATAATCAATGACAACATTACCACTAATCTAGGGAACATGATGCATAAATAGTGATTTTGTTTTCATTAAACTGATGTATTCTTGAACTATTTCCTTGTACTAGTCATCAAATTTCATTATCCCAGTCTCCTGAGCTGCTATCCTTCATTGAAATTAATCAATAAGATGCATAAAGTAAAAAAGATTCATTCAGAAACCATTAAACATTTAAAACCAAAATTAAAGTCAAATAGATCTACAATTCCAAAAGTCATAAATTTATAGCTTACATTGTACAATCAACAAAGAGGCTCAAAACAGAAAACCTAAAATTCAAGGAAAGGGTATCAAACATATTCACTGAGAATTATCGTATTCACTCTATCGACTAGATGCTTAAAATCAATTAGATGGAGAAATCACACACATGAAACCAATCAACAACCAAAAAGCAACTCTGACAACCAAAAAATTACAAGAAATCGATTTAGATAAGGAAAAAAAAAAGCTTGAAGAAAATTGACCTTACCTAATGAAGACGATGGTGCAGTGACGACGTGAAGCTGCGATGGAATACTGGAGGAAGTCGACGTCGCTAAAGCAGTGGCGAAAGTGAAGCTGCGATGGAGGTCTGGCGTTAGAGAGGACGAAGTCGGAGGAGGTTGTCGGCGAGGTGGAGTTGGAAAGGAGGAAAAGGTTGAGGCCGAAGGTGCGAGGAGGGATCTGGAAGAAATCGTATCGGGGGTAAGGAAGAAATCACGTGTAGGGCTAGATGGAGAAGGCCAAATGTGGGTAAGTTTCAGTCAGCCATGTTTTTTTAAAGGATCGAGATAGTTGTTTTTATGGGCCGAGTCAAACGTGTAGCCTGGGTCAGAAGCATATCAAACACCCTGACAGGACCGAGTCAGACCAAAACATTTGACCGGACCCGGTCAGCACCAAATCAAATAGCCCCTAACTAGTGTAAGGTATGTATTATTTCATTTATGCTTATGTACTGTATCGACAATGACATATTGACATCTCAAGGTTTTAATATAAATACGTTTATTGGAAAATGTTTTAATAATATCATTATCATGTTTTTGGGAACAAATTCCGCAATATTTATTCTTTTAAGGATACTTTGATTTCAAAATAAGCATAAATAAATCGGTCTTTTCTGACCGTGAAATTGGGGATGTCACAAAAAATCAAAATGAAGACTTCGTTAAATCAAAATCCAAACTCCATAAAGTGAAAAATAAATCACAAAATTTATCAATTATGGTACATATTTTGTGCAAAAAGAAATAAATCACAAAAATTATCATCTTCTACAACTAGTATCCATCATACCATAAAGAATTAATCGGAAACTATTAAATCAAGGGTGATATATACTAGTAAATTAATACAAGCAAGTTTTTATTATCACTGTATATATGTCATTAGGATACAAACAACTAACGACCTCTTCTTCATCATCTCACTATCACATTGCTTGAGATAAAACATATTGTAACAAAATAAAACAAGGACCTGCTAAATATATCAACAAGATCACGTTCCATGTGATGCTTCCCACTTGATGAGAATATATTTCCAATAAACATTTGGAAACTAAAGCGCTGGCAAATTGATAGATATTTGAGAACTAAACATACGATAGTTTAAGAAAAATTCATGCTACCGGGCAAGAGATGGGCCAGAAGACAAAATTGCACACAATGAAATTCGAACTCCCACATTACCCAAAAATAATTGATCAAAAATCAAAACTTACCATCGTCGGTGTTGCTAAGTGTTAAGGAGTAAATGATGGGGTTTGTCGCTGCCTTGCTACAACAGTGAGGATGTTATGACGCTAGCAAGAGAAAAGAGCGATGAGATCGACATCGTGAATAACGAGAACAGGGGAAGCCGGATGGAAGCTGGAAGGATAACTCGCTTTTAGGGCCAGAGTCATCAAGGGTTTTGTGATGTTGGAGGAGTGGTGGCGGAAGATAACAGATATTCGGAGAGGGATAGGAGCAGGATGGAGGCAAGGCGGCATAAAGTTTTATGTGGTCTTGAGTGGTTGTGTGGAGCTGATGGGATTTGTTTATTGTTTTAAAGAGGGAAAAAACTAGATTAGATAAATTTCCGTAATTTTAGGAGAGTATTTGTGGAAGTTATATTTCTTTTAAATGAAATTACCAAATTATCCTTATTAATTTAATAAATGATTTATTTTTTCATGAATTCTTATTGGTTCATTCATCCACACAATACTTAGTTAGAATACTTGAACCATACACTCTCTCTCTCTCTCTCTCTCTATATATATATATATATATATATATATATATATATATATATATATATATATATATATATATCATTAGAAAGGTATCGACGATGCGGTCGATATAAGACTAATATTGAATACTTTCGACATTAGTTTAGTACAAATATCGTTAAATCTATTTAAAATAATATTATAAATGGTCGTTTGGTCGTTTAAGTAACTATAAATGGTGCTTTTTGAAAAATCAATTACTATAAATATGAGGCTGTAGACTCTCATATTTCTTGCACCAAGTCTCTTTCAAGAGCTTTTCTCTTCTCACCCTCGAGCATTTCGTTCCCTTGTGATTCGACTTCTATTTCTATAGTTTTAGTATAGTAAGTTGAGCGTTGAAGCGCTGCAATAATCTTTTTAAAAGAAAGTTTCAGTGACACAGTTCTGACCACGAAGTTCTAAGTTTTCGCTAGAATACCCTGTCATTTTAGAGGAAAAACTAAGTCGTTAGTAGCAAATCTCGGAGCGCCACAGAGCCCCGAGAAATAGATTTTTCGGTATCGAAGTTTTGCTCACGTAATGTCTGATTTTTTGTCAAATAATTTGTAAGTTAAGTTATGCTTCTCGTGCTTTAAGTATAAATTACATTTATGTTTATAATCTTTATTATGAATTTATAATTATGATTTATCAGTAATATCATTGATCTACTTACAAGAATGATGACAATGTAAGATTAGTGAGGTGTTTAAATTAGATTAAAACTTATACCATTGCATAACCATTTGTGATTTTGTTTTTTTTTCTTTTTCGATTTTCATGCAATAACCATATTAAATAAGGAAAATGTCATTTTAACCCTACAAACTTTTTTTTTTGTTTGTTTTAAATAGTCACTTGTTTGTTTGTTTGTTTTTTTTTTTTTTTTTTTTTTTTGCACTTTAGAGGACCTAAGTCTATTTTACAGGTTAAATAAATCTTTTAACCTTTTATAACAGGTAACTAAGAAGTATATAATATTTTGTTAATGTAGAAGACCAAGTATGATAACATTTGGCTGAAGTGGAATGCCATGTGCATTACAAAAACACGTCCTCCTAAAATATGAAGAACTTAGGCTTTTTGTGCTCAAGACCTCACAAGTGTTCCTCGATCGTCCCCACCGTCGTACATCCAAATTCATTCTCATCTTCAAATAATTCCCCTGTTACTTTGGCAGGTCAAAAACCACGATTCTTTTCCTTGATTTCTCAATCTACTGAAGTGTTGCTGCTAATTTCCTACTCCGCCGATTTTCCTAGTTTGATTTCTCTCACATTACCACGACCCCGTTTCAATCTCAATCTGAAACCCACTTGGAGTCAGTGGCGTAGCCACATATACTTTAGGTGGGTCCTAGGACCTACCTAAGGTTTAACATTTTTATAGAAATTATATAGAAACTTATACTAGGACCTACCTTCCGGTATTGAAAAATATAAAGAACCTATCTAATTATGTATGAGGAACCACTTAACGTTTTGTTCTAGATTCGTCACTGCTTGGAGTTCGTTGAACGTATTGGATATAGAGATTAAACAGGTGCGTTTGTTTGCCCCACATTTGGTGAAAACAAACGGGCGTGTCGCCCTTGCGATTTAAGAGAACACCAAAACATTACCGATCATGATTATGGAATTGAAGCTCGAAACAAACGAGTTGCAAAACGAAATGCGTCATGGAATGGTTCGAATCGAATTAGACTGCGATAAACAACAATAAAGAGGGAACCGGCGGAGGAGGATTACTATGTGATGGAGACACTTGCGGTGGTAGCGATAGGTGTCGGAGTGTTTCCGGGAAATCCGGGGTGGAAAGTCCCGACGGTAAGATTGCATACAAAGACACTTGGATCGTAATCTGCAACAGATGCAGAGTTAACCCCAATGACAAAAGGTATCATCACTATCACCAAGAAGCTCCATTAAAATATTCAAATTACCACCTCTTGCCACCGCATGAACAAAAATCTCTTGTATTATATGCATTGTAGTTTGTACTATGCTCAATAGAAGCATAAAGACTTGAACCTAAACTATCCATTCGAAATATTTCTATGGACAGGGACCATATCGGTTAAAATCTTTGATGACGCGTAATTGGAGTTGACTCATCCACAGTTTCACTATTTATTTTGGAATAAATGCTATTATATCTGACTAAATTACGAAGAATTTTGGTTATTTTACTAAATTTCTTTTGGTTTCCACTTTCCACCCATGGAGCGAGATTCAGAAAACGAAAAGCGCGCCAATACGTTCACATAACCGCCCTCACTCCAAAATCCTCAAACAAAAAATCCGATATCGCCGTCGCACCGCCACCGTCATGGGAAAGCAAAAACAACAAGCTATTTCCCGTTTCTTCGCCCCCAAACCAAAGCCATCTTCTTCCCCAACGTCAACTTCGCCTCCATCGTCACCGCCGCCGTCGCAATCACCTCTACCGAATTCATCAACACCTCCCCCTAACATCTCCGCCACCGTCACATATTCTCCTCTTAAACGCCTTCGTACCTCCCAGCTCATATCCCCGATCAAAAAACCCTCCAAAACCCCCCGATTATCCCCCAATCCCGACCTTGCGGAATCTTCTCGAACTAAACAATCTCCACCCAGTGAAAACCCTAAACCCTCTTTGTCGAATCCCACTCTTCACGAAAAGTTTCTTAGCAAACTTCTAGAACCTTCTGAAGAAGATACAGCTAATGTTCTTACTGCAGATGCTAAGGCTCCATTAAACCCCAAATACACCCCATTGGAGCAGCAGGTAGTAGAGCTTAAAGCTAAGTACAAAGACGTTCTTTTAATGATTGAAGTTGGTTACAAGTTTCGTTTCTTCGGTGAAGACGCTGAGAATGCCGCTAGGGTTTTGGGAATCTACGCACACATGGATCACAATTTCTTGACAGCTAGTATACCCACTTACCGATTAAACGTCCATGTGAGGAGACTAGTAAGCGCAGGGTACAAAGTGGGCGTTGTTAAACAGACCGAAACCGCAACAATCAAGGCTCACGGGTCAAATAAAATGGGTCCATTTTGTCGTGGATTATCAGCATTGTACACAAAGGCCACACTTGAAGCATCTGAAGATGTGGGTGGAGGAGGAGAAGAAGGGTGTGGATCATGTAATAACTATTTAGTTACTGTCGTTGAAAATGTAAATGTTGGCGACGACAAGGGGAATAATGAAAGTGGAGTTGATGTGAAAATTGGGATTGTTGCTGTTGAAATTTCAACTGGAGATGTTATTTTTGGAGAATTTGACGATAACTTGCTAAGAACTGGGCTTGAGGCTAAGATATTGAGCTTGTCTCCTGCTGAACTGCTTCTTGTTGATCCCCTCTCTAAGCTAACAGAGAAGGTAGTTGATTACTTGATTTCAACTCAATAAAACTTTTATACTTGTGTAAATATTGAATAAAATTGTTTGCTAATTGGATCTCTGTTTTCATATTTAGTTTTTAGTGGCATACGTGGGACCCGCTTCAAATGTCCGGGTGGAACATGCCTCTAGAGACCGCTATACAAATGGTGGTGCACTTGCTGAAGTATTGTCATCTTTTGATAAAATAGGTGATAGCCTTCTAAATGATACTCAAAAGGAAAAAACAAAATGTCATCATGCAACTGAGGTGTGTGATTCTTGTTATCTCTTATTATGATGTACATGTGTTACTTTTTTTTAAATCTAATCCCTTTTTATGTGTAGGCGATTATGGGTATGCCTGATTTAGCTGTTCAAGCATTAGCATTGACCATTGACCATCTGAAACAATTTGGTTTTGAAAGAATTTTGTGTTTGGGAGCTTCATTTCGCCCTTTTTCCAATGATTTGGAGATGACACTTTCAGCCAATGCAATGCAGCAATTAGAGGTTTTGAAGAACAACTCTAATGGATCTGAATCTGGCTCATTGTTTAGCTGTATGAATTACACTTTTACCACATTTGGCTCAAGACTTCTCAGACATTGGGTATAGCTATTTGTTATAATCATCATTATTGCTTTTTTTAAGGAATTTAGTGTTTGCTAATTGGGTCCCACCTCATGAATCAGGTGAGTCATCCTTTACGTGACAAAAGCATGATCAGTGCACGTCTCGATGCTATTTCTGAGATTCTTGAATCAATGGGTTTTTCTAAAGATTTTAATGATGGAAGACACACTGATGTCAATCTTCATCAACTTCTTAGTTTAGTTCTTACTAATTTAGGAAAGTTACCTGATATTCAACGTGGAATTACTAGAATCTTCCATCGAACTGCCACAGCATCAGAGGTAATAATGAGTTGTTACTTTTCAACTTAATGAGCTTAATGGGTTAAGCACTTAATCTAGACAGTTATACATGACTGTTTCCTATACAGTTCATAGCAGTTATTCAAGCCATCTTAGTGTCTGGAAAACAACTTCAGAAGCTTCAAGTTGAAGAAGACAATGAAGTCAACCATGTGGAAAAGACCATTCAGTCCCTGTTGCTAAAAAAGTTGATTCTGACTGCATCATCATCCAGCATAATTTCCACATCAGCAAGGCTGTTGTCTGCCTTGAATACAGAAGCTGCTGAACAGCGTGACATTTCCAATCTGTTTGTTGTTTCTGAAGGACAATTTCAAGAGGTAATTATAAATAAAGTTTTATATATATATATATATATATATATATATATATATATATATATATATATATATGATCTCTAATTTATCTTCAGTTATATATTTATAACTGTTTTATATCTGATTACCAGATTGCTACAGCAAGGAATAAAGTGAAACAAGAAAAAGATAAGTTAGATTTATTAATTAATATATTCCGCAAACAACTGAAAAATCAGAAATTGGAATTCATGAGTGTGTCTGGGACAACACATTTGATAGAGGTAATTTATATATTTTTATAAATTATAATTTAAATTATATCTATAAATATTTTTTTTTACTGAACTTTATCTTCACAGTTACCAGTAAATGTAAAGGTACCTTCGAACTGGGTGAAGGTTAACAGTACTAAAAAGGCAATACGCTATCATGCACCGGAGGTATTAACAGCTTTAGACCATTTATCATTAGCAAACGAGGAGCTTGCTATTGTGTGCCGTTCAGCTTGGCAGAAGTTTCTAGAAGAATTCACAGGATTCTATCAAGACTTTCAGAGTGCTGTTCAAGCACTAGCATCCTTAGATTGCTTACATTCTCTTGCTCTACTTGCAAGAAAAAAGGTTTCTTTCTTTTAATGTTATAAATTTGAGAATGAATTACATTTTTGGTCCCTTAGTATAACTGATGTTTGCATTTTTGGTCCCTTATTTTGACCAATTCAACCCGCTTTTGATCTATTAGGATTACACTCGCCCTGTTTTTGTTGATGATAATGAACCTGTTCAAATCTGTATATCATCAGGTCGTCATCCGGTATGTAACATCATTTTTTTAAAATGTTTTTGCATAGTGTTTTTTTTTTTTTTTAATATATATATTACCATGAAATGAATATAAACAGGTTATGGAGACAATGTTAGAAGATAATTTTGTTCCAAATGATACAAATTTACATTCAGAAGGAGAGTATTGTCAAATTGTGACGGGACCAAATATGGGTGGAAAGAGTTGTTATATACGACAGGTGGCACTGATTGCCATCATGGCACAAGTGGGTTGTTATGTACCTGCCAAGTCAGCAAAGCTCCATGTATTAGATGGGATCTACACACGAATGGGAGCTTCTGATAGCATCCAACAAGGAAGGAGCACGTTTCTAGAAGAGTTAGGTGAAGCTTCTAACATACTTCACGCCTGCACAAATCGATCTTTAGTGATTCTTGATGAGCTTGGGAGAGGCACTAGCACGCATGATGGTGTAGCCATTGCTTATGCTACACTGCAGTATCTTGTAGAACAAAAAAGATCCATGGTGTTGTTTGTGACTCATTATCCAGAAATAGTTAATATGACAAAAGGGTTTGGTGGGCGTGTGGGGTCTTACCATGTTTCATATCTGACATCTTCGCAAAAAGACGAATCTAACCCTGGTTGCGACTATGAAGATGTTGTTTATCTTTATAAGCTTGTTCCTGGTGTTTCAGAAAGGAGCTTTGGGTTTAAAGTTGCACAGCTTGCACAGGTCAGTTTGACTTTTAAGTTTTGACTTTTTGAGATAGTCAAACTTCATCTTTTATGTTTTTTTTGTGTTGTGTTGTGTTGCAGATACCTTTGTCGTGTATAAATCGAGGGAGTGAGATGGCAGTGAAATTGGAGGAAGTGGTGAGGGACAGATGTAAAAGCAGGTTGGCAATGGCAGATAAGAATTTACAGGAAATATTTTCAAATTTGAATTTGGCGTTTTTGGAAGATGTTGATCCTGTAAAAAGCTTAGAGTGTTTGAAGCATGCGAGAAGCCTTGCACTTGCATTGAGAAATTAGTAAAATGAGTTTTTCATTTTGTTTCTGCTTCTAATGTTCTTGTAAGGCGCTAGTTCTATGGTGGTTGAGATGATGACGTAACTTGGTGTGAGAGTGATCACATCACATATATTTATCTAGTCAAAACGTCTTTTACCAGGTATAATCACCTTCTATTTGAATCGGAATCTGTTACATGTTTGGTTTGGTTGGTTGAAAATGGAATACATTTTAATCATATTTCTTTGTTTGTTATTTTCTATTTGGTTTGTAAATTGATCAGTTAATTTGGAATGTAAATTATGTTAATCAGTGATACTGTTTTTGTCATAAATCCCATTAAATACTATGAAGATTGCCCAAAGTCGTGCAATCGCTTGTCATATATATCAAGAAAGAGAAAAATCAAGAAATAAATACCTATTTTATGAAGCTAATTCTTTCTTGGCTATCAAAGGCATCGATTAGATAAGAGATGCCAACCTTTAATAGAGTTCAAGAACAGAGAAATTGGACCAGAAACGAACACAAATGGATAAGGTCAACTCTTATGAAGTGCAAGTCAACAAAGAGATCAAGATCCAATTTGTAGGCTTACAATGGTCTAGTTAATGCTGTATGTTTGTTTGGTATTCGATTGTTTTGTTTGACTTTACCTAATGATGCAGGTAGGAGACAAAAAAAATTGGTGATTTGTGAGACAAAAAAAGGAGCAAGAAAATTACACGTCTTTCTTATTGAATTTAACATATTATGCACCAAAACAGCAGCAAATTTTTATCTTCAGTAACACAAATATAAAGCATAAGTCCCACGATGTTCAAGAAAAAGGCAACAACATTTTGCCTAACAAAAACTTGTAATGTTCAGTGTTCTGATGAAGAAACTAATACAACTCAATAGTCTTTGTTCCCAAAGTTTTTGCACCATATCTGTGATGGAACTGGCCGAACAGGCATATGTGGTCGTTGCTGCAATATACACACAAAGCAGAATCAGAGTATGCAGATATAACAGAGATTAGATGAGACCAAAATGCAACTTCTTTGGTTAAGTATCACATAAACTGAAAGTTGACATCTTGCATACAAAAGTACAGAACTAAGAAGTAAGAACCTAGAGTGTAACTGTGAACGTCGATAGACTACCATGGTAACTTGACAATGATGCAAACCCATAGAAATCGGATTTGAATACAAAAGATCAAACTAGGGTGAAGGAGATGAACTTTTAATGAATAGGGCTTCTTAGTTAAATCGTTGTCTATGGAGCTATTATGATTAGGGCTCACAGGTGACTGACCAAACAGACTAGATAGAAAGGCAACAGCAAAACCCAAACGGATCAAAGATGAACAACGTTTGAAATGATGAATCCCGAAAAAATTTACTACCAAGAAATTCACTATAAGCACGCAAGCTGGAACTGAGGCCCGTGAAATTTCAAACCCTAATTTTTTTACAATCTCAAGTCAAGGTACGCCTAAATCCAGATCTCCCACATTGTAAGTACTGAATTTCTATAAAAAGTAGGGGGGAAACATGCGAGAGTAGAGGGATAGATGATCGGTATATAGAAACAGACCTCAAGCTCCGCAGATTTCATGGCGATGGGGATGCAAACGAGGAAAATACCAGCCATGGCGATCGCTGTGTTGCGCTTCCAGTGCAAGGGGCGACAGTTCGGACCACCGCTCATAGTCCACACCTTAGCCCTGAAATCCCCTCCGCCATGGCCGTGGGCTGCGTCGCCGTGATGTTCTCCTCCACCCATTTTCTCTCGTCAACCACTTCGATCGAACTTCTACGAACAAGCAAAAATGGTTTAGTTGGGTGCCCTATTGTCTATCGGTACATTTTGGGGATAGGCCCTCCACTTCACTGCACAGCGAGCCCATTTTGTGACGTTAGTTTCTATTTGTTATTTCAATTTTAATTTCTCATTTGTTGAAATTAAATTAAAAAACACTATAATACATTAACACTAAAACTCTTTATGGATGGGAAGTGGGTATCCATCCTAATTATCTGGAACCGAAATTGGCAGCTTCTAAAATGTTGGAACCGAAACCAAAATCGGAACCGATGGTAGAGGTTCCAATATCGGGTACTTGATTCGTTAGATTTGTTGAATTTTTAAAACTTATAAAAGTATATCTTTTGTAAATTTACAAGAAATTTATCGATAACATCAATACATAATTCGCTAACTATTAAAAACTAGTTGTGAGACTCATGTATTATGCAAATTGATTTTTTTTTTAAAAGTTAAATATAAATGTCAAAATATTTGACAACTTTGAATTTATAAGAAATTAAGAAAAATAATGATTTATTATAATGGAAATGTTTTTTATCATTTAAATTTAAACAAATAATTTAAATAAAGAAAAGACACTTTAATTTTGAGAATTTTGAAATTAAAAGGTAAGTTTATTAGTGAAATTAATATCCATTTATTGCAACTATTACATTACAATTTTATGTGGAATTTAATAAAATAAAAAAACTCATAAAAATAACATGTGGAAAAAAAATTAATTCAAAATAACCACAAAATGACATTTGGCAAATTGAATGAGAGTGTGACAAGTGACAAAAAAAATTCATTTATTAAAGAGGATAAGGATTAGAAAATATCAGTAGCTTGAATAACATGACGAAAAATATGTACAAGTTTCTTAATACCTACAAATAAACATCACTAATTTCATGTATCTTAAATTCATACTTTTGATATAAAAAATTCATATAACTGAAGTCCATAGCTAAACAAATATTTATGTGAGTTAGAATTTAACTTAAACATAATAGTATATTATGTCTAAACAAATATTTCTATGAGTTAAAATTTAACTTGAACATAATAGTATATTATGTTTACTATCTAAAAATTCATTTTGAACCTAGATAGTTTAAATTCAAAGTGAAAATTACACATGGACATTTAAAAGTTCAAAACAAATTACACAAAATTCTAGAATTTTAAATGATGTTATTCAATATACTGTATAAAGTATGTGATTATGATATATATATATATATATATATATATATATATATATATATATATACACACACACACACCAGTTCCGACGGGTACCGAACGGGTAGTGGTTCCGTAAAAATAAGAACCAAAATCGGAATCGTTTAAGGCGGTTCTCCGACATAAAACTGCTTTGGACGATGATCTCCGACATAAAACAACTAAGATATATAAATAAATAAAACTTGTCTTAATCGAGTGTACACACCAAAATATATCATGGAATATGATAGGTAAGCCCATTGTATAGAATAAAACAGAAATTAAACATTCGTATGTGACCAAAAAGAAAAAAAAAGTAGATAGCAAAGACAAGCAATGTAAATATTGTACAAATATGTAGACATTGAGAGGATAAACTACACATTAAACGTGAAACGAAAAAACTGGCACTAGAGATTGACATTAACTAATATGGTATAAATACGTGCTAGTATGTATCATATCGGCTAGACACAACCCCGTATGTCTTTATATGTTGGAGTTTACCATCTTTCCCAAAAGTTATTTTCTTTTTTAAAACGACTAACTCACACACCCATCTAATCATACTCATAAATCTACATATTAAATCCATTACAGTACTTGAACCCTCAATCACTTAGGAATATATATTGTAACACCCTGTTCTAGGCCATTATGTGATTCAGGGTCGTGGGCCGGAAATCGATTCCATAAAAGCTTTGAGGCCTTAAGGAGGCCATGTTTAGGTCTTTTGGAAGAAGGCAATGAAGGTTATGAGACCTAAATCCTCTGGATCGTGCTTTGGGTCGAAGGGTAGCATGGGAAAAGTCATAGGTTAGTTTCTTGCATAAGAAATGGATTTTTGTTCGAGAAGTTCTCAGTCCAAGATATCTATATATTATTGTGGGGCTTTTCAATACCTTTCCGTAGATATAAAGAACGTTGAAAACGGATTTAAAACGAAGAAATTATGACCATTCGGAGTTGGAGGGTTTTTAGCTTGAGCCTAGTACGTTGGGCGTACAGGGAGTACGTTGGTCGTACTAGGCAAGAGATGATCGCGGAGTTAAACCTAGTACATTGGGTGTATTAGGAGTATGCGGGGCGTACGTGGGCGAATGACAAACCCTAAATTTTAGGGTATCACCCCTATTTAAAGGCATTAACTCACCCTTGGGCCTCCCTTAATCATCCTCCACTCTTTCTAAACCTTAATATCGAGTGTATCCTTTGTGAGTGAAGATTTGGAAGCTTGGTGGTGTTTTTGGTGGCCTTTTGTTGAAGAAGAAGATTAGTGAAGAAGGAAGGGTTGCTTGCAAGCTTTTGGATCCAGAAACTACTCCATTCGGTGCATCTTCTAAAGGTATAAAGTTCATACCTTGATGAGTTTCCTTCTAGATCTCCATAGATGGGTTTTTCATAAACTTTTGTCCCAAAGCTTGGACCTCTATGAGTATGGAGTACTCCAAAGCTTATTAGTTGTCCTTTCAAGCATTTTAGGACTTGTGGATTCATAAAATGTTTAATTGATGTTCCATTTTTAGCCATGCAAGATCTTGGTAGTGTTGAGTGTGGATTAAGTTAGAATTTCAAGGTTTAAACTCTTTCCAGCCATGCAAAGGCTTAAAGTCTTTGACTTTATGGGTTAATACATTATTTGGAATTAGATATGAGAAGTGGACTTAGTGGTTTAACCATTTAAGACATTAATGATGAGTTTGGGCTGATGTGGAGTACGCTAGGCGTACCCAACTCGTACGCAGCGCGTACCGGCCAAAGGTGGCGTACGCTGGGCGTAGATCGAGTACGTAGGGCGTACTCAGATTATTGACCGTTGTTGACTTTTGTTAACTTTTGGGTTTTGGGCCATATTTGGACTACTAAGGTTTTTGGTCTTATTGGGTTGCTAGTCATTTTTGATCTTGCGTCATTGTTAGACTTTGGGCCTTATTGGATTTGGCCTATAGTGGGCTTTGGGCACCATTTAGGATTTTGGGCCATTATAGGCTTTTAGGTGTCTTTGGGCAGGGCCCGGTTGTGGTTTATGACCTGATTATTAATTAGGATATTATCTGATGATATTTAGTGCAGAGGTTTCTCGGATCAACAGTTCGAGCATTTATCTAGTTGTTTCAGCAGTTTGAGGTGAGTCTTCTCCCGGTGCTCGTGAATCGAAGGCACCAATGT